GCTCTACCACTGAGCCACCTTCCCAGCCCCCCAATCTAAGTTTTTAAAAAGTTATTGTTTCCACTTTTTTGAAGAACATGTTAACAGGAAGTGAGTAAGTAGTTGTATGGAATCATTTCTGGGATGTTATCAATATTCTAGCATCCCAGTGTTATTTGAATGCTCAAAAGAAGCTTACCTTGTAATTTTTAAAGAAGTTAGTACATTTAATTCAAAGTTTGGGAAATTAGTGTATCATGCAGTTTTAGAAATATGAGCTAAATGAGATAGAAATTATCAGGTGTCAGTCATTTTACAGATGTGGAAACTGACCAGTTACATTAGAGTTAATCTTGTAATAGCTTCACTTTCCTACTTTACAACTTTTACTCTAAATTTGAATAAACTTGTAATTTTTTTAATTTTATTTTTTGCCAGTGCTGGCGCTTGAACTCAGGGCGTGGGTACCGTCCCTGAGCTTCTTTTGCTTAAGGCTGGGACTCGACCTCTTGAGCCACAGCACCACTTCCAGCTTTTTCTGTTTATGTGGTACTGAGGAATCGAACCCAGGGCTTCATGCATGCTAGGAAGCACTCTACCACTGAGCCACCTTCCCAGCCCCTGCAAAATTATTTTTTTAGTTCATTATTTGGAAAGAAAGACTTCCTAATAGAAAAGTTCTATTGTTATAGATCCTTGACTAACTAATCTAGTAAAAAAAAAAAAAAACCAAAAACCTCAAATGACTTTTTTCCTTTTTCTTAAATTTTTGTATTAATATATTTCAAACAAACGTACCTTCTTTTACTTGAGTTGATTTGGTTCTCTTGTCTGTCAGAATTGGGGGCTTCTGTTTCCAAAGTGTGTGAGGAAGGAGTAGTAGCAAGTAGAAGAATAGTGCAACAAAACCTGGGGTTCTAATCACCATCAGTTTTGGTGGTTGACCAGTCCCGCCCTGCCCAAGGGAGTGCCCTCAGGACTAGCGGGTCTGACTTTAGTGTCTCCATGATGCTGAAATACCCTGGAAAATGCAACCATTCTTTTGGACTGCATTCCTCCCTACTGCATAAGGTTGCTGCTCTCCTTGAAATTTGCTCAAGATTTACCTCCTACATGGGACCTTGGAAATTAATCATTTATGTTTCATTATTTCTCATTTAGTCTAAAAATGAAACTATGCATAGCAAACCAACCTGGGGGTTGTTTAAATTATCTGTACATTAATACCCAGAGATTCTAATCTGTTAGATAAGGAACATCAGGCTTTAGTGGAGTACATAACACTTACTTGCTTCTAACTTCTGTTTATCCCAAATAATCTTTCTCTACAAGATTACTATCTCAGCTCTTTTGCAGTTCCAGCCTAGCATTTTATTTTATTTTTTCTCTTTTTTTTTTTTCTTCACTCTAGCATTTTAAAGTGGGCTCTATGATGACTTGAGAAAGACAGTGACATTTCTCTTGGAATAAAGAAACTGAAAAGCCTCTGGCCCAAATAATGTTTATTGTTCTCATTTTAATAAAGTATTTGCGCTGGTACCAGTGGCTCACGCCTGTAGTCCTAGCTGAGATCTGAGGATTGTGGTTCGTAGCCAGCCTGGGCAAAAACGTCCCCATTAAACTCTTATCTCCAATTAACCACTCAAAAACCGGAAGTGGCACTGTGGCTCAAGTGGTAGAGCGCTAACTTTGACACAAAGATATTTAGGGACAGCGCCCAGGCCTTGAGTTCAAACCCTACAACTAACAGAAAAAGAAAGATATGGATGGATTTGGTAGGTTTACAGGGCTGAGGCTCAAATCCAGGGCCTCAAACATGCTAGGAAAGCACTGTACCACTGAGCTACATTCCCCTCCTGAATTGGGTAAATATTAAAGGTAGACTTGACAAATTAAATAAGGCATTTAGGAGGGAAAAAATCAGGTGCCAGTGGCTCATGCCTGTAAGCCTAACTACTCAGGAGGCTGAGACCTGAGGATCAGGGTTCAAAGCCAGCCCAGGCAGGAAGCCTAATTAATTACAGAAAAAGCCAGAAGTGGTGCTGTGGTTCACGTGGTAGAGTACTAATCTTGATCAAAAGTTGCTCAGGGACATCGCCCAGGCCCAGAGTTCATGCCCCATGACCTGACCCAAAAAAAAAAAAAAAAAAAAAAAAAAAGAGAAGAATAGCCTGTAATAGAATCTGACAGGTATCCATTGGTGAAGTAAGAAGATACCTTAGAGAATATTTAAGGGTGTGTGTGTATGTGTGTGTGTGTATGTCTTCATAGTAAATACATTTAGAGGAGGTTAAACAGAAAGAAGAAATGTATTTGCAGAACAATGGGGGCATTTCATAGAAGACAGGGCAAGAGCAAGCTGTAGGACCTCCCGAGGGATCAGAGCCAGGTCCTGGGAGGTGACTAGAACTAAATGCCCACTCTCCATCTTCCCTGGGATTGCAGTGTCTCACACTCCTTTCTCCTCTCTGTGTTTTGGCTTGTGCACGTCTGCCTAGTTCTGTATTATTTACAAGTAAATACTGCTAGATCAAAAAGAATCTGATTGGCTCAGCCCAGACACCACGTCTGCTTTGCCACAGGCAAGTGTCCATGCTGCATTTGAAAGCAGTGGTTAAGCAAGCCGGTTCACTTAAGCGGGAGGTGCCCCTGAGTCCACACTGCAGGCTCTGTTTGGGGAAATTTCAAGTAGAGATGAGAAGATTAGACAGTATCTTGAAAAAAACACACTGTTGACGGAAACCAGAAGTGAAAGGAAGTGAGACCCCGTTTCTAGAGAAGGAAAGTAGTCAGCACTGTTCAGTCCCTCCAAGAAGATCAGTGAGAAAAGTACAAAAACCTATAGACAACTTGAAAGGCAGAAACCCTTAGAAAAAGCTAGTGCCGACTTTATTTATTTATTTATTTATGTTTGTTTGTTTTTTGTCGGTCAGTGGGCTTGAACTCTGGGCCTGGGTATTGTTGTTGAACTCTTCAGATCAAGGCAAGAGCCCTAACCACCCACAGAGCCACTTCTGGTTTTGGCTTTGAATCGCAATCCACAGATCTCAACCTCCTGAGTAACTAGGATTACAGGTGTGAGCCACTGGTGCCCAGCATTTTTTTTTTTTTGTACTTTTTCTTACACTTTAAAAGTAATTGGTACCATATCATATATTGAGGGTTTTTTAAAATGCCATATGTGATGCATAATTTTGTCAACTTGGCTAGGCCACAGTTTTCAGATTTTTGGTGAGCTCTATTCTCAGTGCTTCTCTGAAGATTATTTTTAGACAAAATTAGCATTTAGATTTAAAGTAGACTTTAACTAAAGCAAGTCACCCACCATAATGTGAGTGAACCTTGCCTAATTACTTGAAAATCTTCAAAGAAATAAGACTGACTTCTTCCAAGGAAAAGGGAATTCTGCCACTGAGGCCTTCACATGTAAGCCTCATATCAGGTATTTCCCGTAGACTTAGGGCTTGCCAGCTTTCATATGGTGTGAGCCAATACTTTAAAATAAATTTATCTTTCTAGCTGGGTGGCTCATGGCTGTAATCCTAGCTATTCTGGAGGCTGAGATCTGAGGATCTGAAGTTAGCCTGGGAAGGAAAGTCTGTGAGAATTTTATCTCCAATTAATCACCAAAAAGCCAGAAGTAGAGCTTTGGCTTCAAGTGGTAGAGCACCAGCCTTGAGCAAAAGAACTCAGGGACAGCACAGAGGCTCTGAGTTCAAGCCCTAGAACTGTCATGTGTGAGGGCACATGTCACACACTTACACACATTAAATTCTAACAGCACTGGCTAGAATGTGGCTCAGTGATAGCGTGCTTGCCCAGAACACATGAGGCTATGGTTCAATTTGCAGCAACACGAAAATAAATAAAAAGAGGTAGACAAGACAAGATTTTTTTTTTGTAATTGCTTTCATTGCAAGTCATTTTATTGACTCTACACTAACATCAATGAATGTGAGTGGCACATGTTATAATATACAAAATAGTTGTGACTATATAAACTAGTGTAGCAAAGCATTATCAGGAAGAATAAAACTGCTTTCTAGAGTAACTGAAGGAAATGCCTAGAGCAGTTTTCCTGTTATCAAGGACATGCAGTGAGAACGAGATAATGGTATGAAATTAAAAGTATCCGGGTTTAACTCAGTGGGCAGGCCCTGTATTAGATGCTCAGCGATGCACCTAGGACATGAAGTAATCTATTAAGGTTAAGAAAACTTTTTATGTATTTGAAAATAACATGAAGGGCTTATAAATTTTTGTTTCATCTTTTTTTTGGGGGGGGGTAGTGGGCTAGAACTCTACACCTGGGTGCTGTCCCTGAGCTCTTCAGCTCAAGGCTAGCGCTCTACCACTTGAGCCACAGTGCCACTTCTAGCTTTTTTTTGCTTATATGGTGCTGAGGAATCGAACCCAGGGCCTCAGGCATGCAAGGCAAGCGCTCTACCGCTGAGCCACCTTCCCAGCCCTGTTACTCCCCTTTTTATGGTTTCTAGCCCCAGGATCCCACCAGAAATTTTCTCCATAAGATTACTATTTGAAATTTTAGTGGAAGGCACTGAAGTAGAAAGCTAATTACAAAGTGTTCCTCTCAATGAGGAGAAGAGGCAGCTGTGTCATAGATGGAAGAAAGAGTGATAATGCCCAGTCCTCCTCTAGAGAAGGAAGGACTTTATGGGACCAGGTTCAGGGGCTGTTCAGCGGCTCTTTCATTTTAGACCACGTTAAAATAATGTCTTGCAAGGATGGTAGGGGAAAAACAAAGGAGGAGGCAACAATGCTTGATAAGAAATGTACATATTACCTTGTTCATGTAATTGTAACCCCTCTGTACAGTATTTTCACAATAAAAAAAACTTTAAATAAATAAAATAATGTCTCCTATCTGTCCTTCATCTATAGTATAGAAGCAAAGTGTAGAAGCAAAGCAGAGCTAATTCGCCCATAGAAGAATGTTGAAACAAGATTTCATTCACTTATTCGTCCTTGTGTGCTATGTGCTGTGCTTGGACTTTGGTGCTGGGAATAGAATGGGCACTAAAAATACATAAGCATGAAATCTTAAATTTTATAGTACAGCAACTGTCTTGTTTTTTTTTTTTATTTGCTTGATTCATTTAGATAACTTTACTTTTCTTTCCCTTTAGTATCCTCTCATGTATGGGCTGATTCTCATCCCCTGCTGGTGTTCTCTAGTCTGCATAAGCAGAATTTACATGGGTATGCACTCCATTCTGGTAAGAAAAACCTTATATCCTTATTGCTTTCTTTTTTTGTGTGAGCTTAATTTATAAGTTTACATGAAATTGAAAATGTTATTGTAAGTCTCTGTATTGCGGAAATATCAACATGAAGACTTGTGAAGTAATATAGTGATCACATATTTCATTCATAGAAACAGTTTTCAGCAGGCACAGTAGCCATACATTTTACTAAGGATAGCCCTTGTTCATTCTTTTATTTTCCTTTGTGCCAGTACTGAGGCTTCAAGCTCTTGCTTTGCTTTTCCACTCAAGGCCTTCACTTCCAGCTTTTTGCTGGTTAATTGGAGGTAAGAGTCTCTCAGACTTTCTTATCCAGACTGGCTTCAAACCTCAGTCCTCAGATTTCAGTTTCCCACTGCCTGGCTTGTTCATTCTGCTAGTTCAGTTTTTTTCTTTTTTTTATCTTGTCAGTCGTGGGACTTGAACTCAGAGCCTGGGGCACTTTGCCTAAGCTCTTTTGCTCAAGGCTGGCATTCTACCACTTTGAGCCACAGCTCCACTTCCATTTTGTATGTGTGTGTGTCTTTTTGAGAGGTTAATTAAAGATGAGTCTCATGGGGACTTTTCTGCACTGGCTGGCTTCAAGACTAGCTTCAGCCTCAATTTATAGATCTCAGCCTCCCGAGTAGCTAGGATTACAGGTGTGAGCTACCAGCATCCAGCCCAGTTTTATTTTCTTTCAGCATCTGTTTTGTGTTTCTCCTATGTATGTGTCCAAACAAACACTTCTCTATAGAAACCAGGGAGCTCTCTAAGGGTCAGGTAAGACTTATTGACTAGAAAGCACATGGGTTTAAATTGTGCTAGTGTCATTTGTACTTATATATGAAACTCTATTTTCTCCATCAAAAAATTTTAGGATATTTCATTTGAGAATGTAATTCAGTTTTGAAAACATAGAGACCTCCCTGTATTTATAACCACTCTTACTCTTCCCTTCCTCTATCCCTATTGACATCTTAGTTCTATCCTACATCATGCATTGACCATATTATCTCAGTCACTCTTTTTCTCTTTTAGTGTAGGTACTGGGGCTTGAACTGAGGTGCTTTTGCACATATTTTTCTCTCATGGCTAATGCTCTGCCACCTCCTGAATACCGTACCTTCACTTCAACTATTTTGCTAATTAATTTTATATGAGTCTCAATGGATTTTCATTTTATTTATTTATTGCCTAGGCTGGCTTTGAACCACACAGTCCTCAGATCTCAGCCTCCTGAGTAGCTAGGATTACAGTTATGAGCCATGGTACTTGGCACCAATTGCATTTTTATACCAAGAAACAAAATTCAAATCAAAAAAGAACAAAACATGATATAGAGAAAAGTCTGGAACAGTGAACATTATGACTTTTAAGGTAACTGCTGGGTAATAGGTATTATTGCTTTAACCTGAGACAGAGACATTACAAATTCACTCATAGAGGTAGGTGCTGGTGGCTCATGCCTGTAATCCTAGCTACTAAGGAGGCTGCCATCTGAGGATCACAATTCAAAGCCAAATGGGGCAGGAAAAGTCGTGAAACTCTTATCTCCAATAAACCACCAGAAAACCGGAAGTGGTTCTGTGGTTCAAGTGGTGGAGTGCTAGCCTTGAGCTAAAGAGTTCAGAGACAGCACCCAGGACAGAGTTCAAGCCCCACAACTGGCAAAAAAAAAAAAAATTCTCTCATAGGATTAAGTGGAGGAGGAAGCTGCTGAGGGAAGAGTGTTCTGTATCTTAATGGAGTAGTAGTTACCAAAACATAGACATTCATAAAATTTATCAAATTATTTAATGACTGGTACATTTCAGTTTATATAGATTTTGCTAATTCATGTGAACTAAACATCAGACTCGCAGTACAATTGCATGAATAAGTTCTCCAATACATAAGAGAACAGATAATTCTAACCACAAGCAAACTCTATAGAGAATTAAAAAAAGGAAACACTATTTAATTCATTTTTAAGGAACTACTGTTGGGCTAGGAATGTGGTTCATTTTTAAGGAACTACTGTTGGGCTAGGAATGTGGTTCAAGTGGTAGAGTTGAGTACCTGCTTAGCAAGCATGAGGCCTTGAGTTCAAACTCTTAATACCTCAAAAAAAAAAGAAGAAGATGCTGGTAATATTATACTGTTGTAGGTGGGTGTGATAGCACACATCTGATCTCTCATTCACTCTGGAGGCTGAGGCAGAAGGATCTTGAGTTTCTTCTGCCAGTCTGAGCTCACAGACATGTGTTATCACATCTGGCTCTCTATTACTTTTTTCTTTTTGCTCAGTTATGGGGCTTGAGCTCTGGGCCTGGGCACTGTCCCTGAGCTCTTCAGCTCAAGGCTAGCACTCTACTACTTTGAGTCACAGCACCACTTCTGGTTTTCTGGTAGTTATTTGGAGACAAAAGTCTGATGGACTTTCCTGCCCAGGCTGGCTTTGAACCCCAATCCTCAGATCGCAGCCTCTTGAGTACTTAGGATTGGGGCGTGAGCCACCAGTGCTCAACTTTCTCTGTCACTTTTGAAATACATTCTAAACTCTTTCCCTGACCTATGAGGGCTTTATGTAGTGGGACTTTTGCCTGTGTCCTTGACCTTGTTTCATATACTCCCTGATTGCTTCACAGTCTCAGTTTCCTGAACTCGCCATATCTTTTCTGCATTTTCGCCATATCTTTGCCTGTGCCCTTGGAATTCCCTCTACTTAGAACAAAATTCTAAAGATAGGGCTGGCGCCTTTTCCAATCAGATCCTGGCTCAAGTGTCCCCTTGTCTGACTGGCCTCTGTAACACTTTAATAGGTTCCTTCATGACAATAATTCATCATCCTATTTTAGTTCCTTCAAACATTTACAGCTATCTGGACTTACAGTATTTATCTGCTATTCTCATTTATTTATTTATTTTATTTTTGGGTCCGGTTGTGGGGCCTGAACTCTGGGCCTGGGTGCTGTCCCTCAGCTCTTCAGCTCAAGGCTAGCACTCTGTTGCTTGAGCCACAGTGCCACTTTCGGCTTTTTTCTTTTTGCTTATGTGGTGCTGAGGAATCAAACCCAGGGCCTCAGGCATGCAAGGCAAGCACTTTACCACTGAGCCACCTTCCCAGCCCTGCTATTCTCATTTAAATGACTGTTACCAGTCTTTGCCATTAAAATGTAAGCTTCAGCAAATGATCATCATTATGAGTTTTAGTGCCTATTACATAGTCAGTTTATAAAGTTTATTTTGAGAATTTGACTTTGTAAAATTTGTATCTATTCAACATTAGACCTGCAAAATATATACTATTCTTAAAGGCTATAAATGGTATACTAAACAATTGTGCTTTGCTCTTTTCTCAGGACATTATCGCTGGATTCCTATATACCATTTTAATTTTAGCTGTCTTCTATCCATTTGTGGACCTGATTGATAACTTCAACCAAACTCACAAATATGCTCCATTAATCATCATCGGGCTTCATTTAGCTTTGGGGATCTTCTCTTTCACTCTTGACACCTGGAGCACATCCCGAGGAGACACAGCTGAGATTCTTGGAAGTGGCGCTGGAATTGCCTGTGGTTCTCATGTCAGTCATAGCATGGGTCTAATGTTAGACCCTCCTCTAGACATTCTACCTTTAGCTAGGCCCCCCATTACGGTAATGCTGTTGGGAAAAGCCATACTGCGGGTCCTCATAGGAATGGTATTCGTACTAGTAGTCAGAGATATCATGAAAAAGACTACCATTCCTCTGGCCTGTAAAGTCTTCAATATACCATGTGACGATATTCGAAAAGCAAGACAGCACATGGAAGTTGAACTTCCCTATCGGTATATAACCTATGGAATGGTGGGTTTCTCCATCACATTTTTTATTCCTTACATTTTTTTCTTTATTGGGATCTCTTGATGGGGAAATACTTTGTATGCTATGGAAGGAGGCTATCAATTACTGATATCTAAAAATACACTTTAGGTCAAAGCCAAACCGGAGTAAGCCTTTTAGAAGAATTTAACTTAAAGAGTTATTTAAGTAAATTCTTAAGAGTCAGTGCATTTTATTACTGCACATCCCGATAGTGTTTTAGGCGAGCTGAGCTATTGCAATACTGAGAAAATGATAATCCATTTAAAATGTTCCTGTGTTTGGAGAGTTTTGCATTGTTAGGAGTTCAAGTTATATATAATATATATTAAGGTACATAATATGCAATTATATCTCTAATATATGTTATATATGAAATAATATACCTGTTTTATTTGTAACTGTGGGGATGTATTATAAAATCAGTAAAAATATGCAGCTGTGCCTGTGTGTTTGGAATGAATACAGGCATGTTGTTCTTCACATTATTTCCTGTGGGAGCCAGTTCCTAATTGAGTTGCAGAGTTCGTTTACCATCATGTACTGATCTCTTGCCTCCTTTTACACTGCCATCACCTTTCACGGTACCCATGGAATTTAAACATGGGGAATATTTTTAATGGACCAAAATTTCAGGAAGATTAGGTGTTGGATTCCTTATTTTTTTAAGTTACACTGTGTTGAATGTACTTTTGTTGCAAGTGTTTTGGGTATCAGTTTAATGATTCAGGTACTGAATTTTATTGCTTGCTAATTGTGCCTTTTGTTGCTGAGTTAAGAAATGTATACTGTGATGTAATAGTAAGAGTCTATCTTAAGTTACATATAATCAGGCAAATATTTAAAATATATAGATACATAAATATCAAACTAATGGGGATAGAAGTAAACAACCCTTATTAGTGTAGTCTTTATTTAGAAAGAAATGGCAAAATGGGCTAAAGTTTCTTGCTATTTTATTGGAAAGCTAAATGGATAAGTATTTCCATTTTTGTAAGTATTTTTCTGTGCACTGTAAGTTATAGGAATAAGATATATTTTTTGTACATTGTCTTGATTGTTTATACTGCAGGTAGATGTTTCATGGAAATGTAGTTGAAATTTGCAGGTGGGACAGTGCATGAGCTTCATATGGAAACAAAAACCATTTTTGTAAATTATTTGGAAAGGATTGGACTTCCCAGCATTACATTTTAATACACACTCTTTAACTATTTAAGGTAAATTATAAAATTAAAAAAAGTATCAGTAGATTAGATCCTATTTTCTTTCCAGCCTTCTATTTCAGAATGGAAAATTGGAGTATAGTATTAAACTGTTTTTTTCTCTTTATGCCTTTATGTTTTGAAGTGTGATTATAATTAGGTTAACATTAAATTTATTTATAGTAAGGTTTTCCTAAGTAAGAGAACTTACTTTCAATGTAAATGAGCATCAGGTATGGGATTACTGATTTTAGTGCAATATCTATGTGATTATCCACAAGTATCAGTTAAGATATTTCTATTTTGGACAGCATAACTATTTGAGCTCATATTTTTATAATTCTGATTGAGAATTTAGGAGCATGGCAATTTGTAGCAAAACTAAATCTGATCATTTTAAGTAAAGCAACTAAATTTGGCCTTTAGTTTAAAAGAAACCAATATCCTTAGGAACCTTATTGGTACGATAGAAAATGTGAAAAGAGCTTTTCTTTTAAAATGTGTGGTTGATGACTTAAATTTTAAGGACTCCCATAATGTGTGTCTCTGCTGTCCTATTAATTTTTATGTGTCACTTAAAAAGTATTTGAAAATACTCCATTTCTTTGTGTTTCATTTTCTGTCTTATGACACTTCTATGATAAATGTGTTTTAAAATAAAAACCAAATTCAAGATTCAAGGTTATTTGTTGTGTTTGCCTCTGTATTATGTGGTAGATAATTTTAGACAACAGGATTTTCATTCTACCAGGCTTTTTCTTTGAGGCTTTTTTTCAGGGGTATGGAGAGAGTGCTGCCAGAATTGGAGCTTGAATACAAGTCTTGGTCGCTATCCCTTAGCTTTTTTTCTCCAAGTTGGCACTCTACCACTTGAGCCACAGCTCCACATCTGACTTTTTGGTGGATCATTGGAAATGAGAGTCTCATGGACTTTCCTGCCCAGGCTGGCTTAGAACCTTGATCCTCAGATCTCACCTTTCTGAATAGCTTGAATTACAAGCATTGAGTTACTGGTGTCAGCCTACTCCTTTCTTCTTAAAGCAATTTCAACAGCTTTTGTTGTTCTGTTTTCATGGATGTCGGGAAACTACTATAGTCACAATCATGCTCATTCACTCTTTTCGTAAGCCCTCCTACTCCACTGGTAACCTTCCCAACCAAACAGAGCCTTAACTAATTTCATATTTATTCATTTATTTACTTATTTGTTTATTTTTGGTGACAGTTGTGGGGCTTGACCACAAGGTCTGTTTGCTGTCCATAGGTTTTTACTCAAGGCTAGCACTCTACCACTTGAGTCACAACTCCACTTCCAGTACTCAGGTTGTTTTTATTTTTATTTTGTATGTGTGTGTGTGTATGTGTGTGTGTGTGTGTGTCTTGTGTGTGTGCATGCTGGCACTGACAATTAAACATAGGAGCTTCTTTGGCCTTTTCTGCTCAAGGCTAGTGGTGCTCCATCACTTGAGCCACAGCTCCACTTCCAGCTTTTTCTGGATATTGGAGTTAAGAGTTTCTGCCTAGGCTGGCTTTGAACCACAATCCTCAGATCTCAGCTCCTGAATAGCTATGACTAGCACCCAGCTCATTATTGGTTTTAGGGTGTATTAATTGTACTAAGGGATTCACTGGTATTTCAGATGTGCATATATTTTAAATCCAAATGACCCTCTGTTGCTGTCTCTTTCCCTGCCCTTCTCTCTAACTCTTCTGCTTTTTTGGCAGTCTGGCTATTTTTACAATATTATTTCTACCAATCCATGAGACTGGGATATTTCTCCTATTTTCTGATTTCTTCAATTTTTTAGTTTTTATTGTAAAAGTCTTCCACCTTTTTGGTTGGTACATAGGTATTACTGTTTTGAGCTTTTTTGAGTGGAATTGTAAAATTCTATGGAAATGGAAAAAATGGTATATGTAAGGAAGTAAACATTAATTTTTAAGCCTCAACTGACTTTTCCTAATTTGTCCTTCCCCTGGCTCCAAACACAGAATCTACATCTGATAATAGCAAACTAAGAACGGGATAAAGTGTACTTTGATAACTACTGTACTGATTGTTCAGCCTGAAAGCAAGCATTTATAAAAGCTCTTTTGCCTGCAAAATGCAAATCACATTCTTTCACTGCTCCAGAGAGCCTGGAAGAAACTGTTCTTCCCTGCCCTGCATCCTCTTTAGTCTTGGTGCATTTCCCACGAAGGTGTGCAAAGCCCATCCCTACAGCAAGCCACACAATATAACCGGATCTAGTGTTTGTTTTTCTTTGTTATATAGGGATGTTCACTTAATTTTTAAAAGTTGTTACTATAAAGCTGATATACAGAGGGGTTACAGTTACATAAGTCAGGTAGTGAGTATATTTCTTTTTAGACAATGTCACTGTTTCCCTCCCTCTCTCCAAGTTTTTTCCTTCCATTCTCATCCACAAGTTGTATAGTTCATTTTCTACTGTGTCTAGTGAGTACAATAGCTGAATTTGTTCACCTTTTATCCTTCCATTTCTTCTTTCTTTCTTTCTTTCTTTTTCTCTTTCTCTCTTTCTCTTTCTTTCTTTCCTCTTTCTTTCTTTCTTTCTTTCTTTCTTTCTTTCTTTCTTTCTTTCTTTCTTTCTTTCTTTCTTTCTTTCTTTTTTGTTGTTGTTGGTCACGGGGCTTGAACTCTGGGCCTGAGTGCTGTCCCTGAGTTCTTCAGCTCAAGGCCAGCGCTCTACCACTTGAGCCACAGCACCATTTCCATTTTTTTCTGAGTAGTTTATTGGAGATAAGAGTCTCATGGACTTTCCTGCTTGGGCTAGCTTTGAACCACAATCCTCAGATCTCAGACTCTTGAGTAGCTAGGATTACAGGCCTGAGTCACTCGTGCCCAGTTTAAATATTGTTCCTTTTTTTCCTTTTTTTTTTTTTTTTGCCTAGTGCCAGTGGCTCACACCTGTAATCCTAGCTGCTCAGGAGACTGAGATCTGAGGATCCCTCATCAAAGCCAGCCTGAGGCAGGAAAGTCCATGAGACCCTTGTCTCCAATTAACCACCAGAAAGCCAGAAGTGGCCCTGTGGCTCAAGTGGTAGAGTGCTTGCCTTGAGCTGAGGAGCTCAGGGATAGTGCCCAGGTCAAGTTCAAGACCCACAACTGATGAAAGAAAGAGGGAAAGAGACAGAAAGTCAAAAGGAAAAAAATAGTTACTTATTAGGCAGAAAGAAAGCAATTTTGTATGCTTTATATGGAAAAGTCCTGGAATTTTATTTATTTACTTTTTTACAGTCTTGGAGCTTGAATTCAGGGCCTGGGCACTGTCCCTGAACTGCTTTCTTACGCAAGGCTTGTACTCTAGTACCACTTGAGCCACAGAACCACTTCTGAGCTTTTCTGTTTATGTGGTACTGAGGAATTGAATCCTGGGCTTCATACGTGTTTGGCAAGCACTCTACCACTAAGCCACCTTCCCAGCCAGTCCTGGAATTTTAATGGTTATGATATCCTGACTACTAGAACTATAGTTATTCAGAAGAGGAGATTTCAGAGGGAGGAGAACTTTGAAAAGTTATATTCTAACTTCTAAACTCTCCCAGATCGTATAGCAACTTAATGTACCCAAAAACCTACTTATTGCTGGGCGCCAGTGGTTCACGCCTATAATCCTAGCTACTCAGGAGGCTGAGATCTGAGGATCGCGGTTCAAAGCCAGCCCAGGCAGGAAAGTCTGTGAGACTCTTATCTCCAGTTAACCACCAGAAAACCGGAAGTGGCGCTGTGACTCAAGTGGGGTAGCATTAGCCTTGACCTGAAGAGCTGAGGGACAGCGCCCAGGCCCAGAGTTCAAGCCCCATGACTGATAAAAACAAAAAAACAAAAAAACCTCACAAAAACCTACTCATGGATAATAAAGAATTCCATCTCAAGGTTAAGAACTTATGTGAGCCAGCTGCCCAGGGTCCCTACGTGTTCCACAGTGGGGCCTAGCTTCCAAGAGATTCCTGGGATGTCTAGGCATGCTCTAGGAGGAAAAGTGGAATTCATGAGACTAGTTTTTACCTTATCACACTTAAAAGACAATGAAATTTACTTTGTGGGTTGGGATCAGAACTGACAACAAATCTGGCTCAGTCCAGGTGCTGGGACCCTGATGAGCAATGTGGGTTTGAAAGGGTGTTGGCGGAGGACCTGAAGATGACACAGGGTTCTGTATTTGTGAGGTTATCCACAATGCACTCCTGACAACTTATTTTCTTCCTGTTCAATATTAGTGACCAAGGAGACTTTGGCTTCCTCATTAGCTTCTCTATTACCTAGAGATAAAAGATATTTACCTTATAACTAACCCTCGAGGCCTGGGAAGGTGGCTCAGTGGTAGAGCGCTTGCCTTGCATGCATGAGGCCCTGGGTTCCATTCCTCAGCACCACATAAGCAGGGAAAAAAAAAGCCGGAAGTAGCACCATGGCTCAAGTGGTAGAGCGCTAGCCTTGAGCTGAAGAGCTGAGGGACAGCGCCCAGGCCCAGAGTTCAGGCCCAATACACACAAAAACAAAAACCCCAAAACAAAAAAAACTAACCCTTGAAACAAGTTATTAGATACTGCTGGCTTAGTCTGTAATCCTAGCCTCTGAGGAGGCTGAGATCTGAGGATTACAGTTCAAAGCCAATCTAGTCAGGAAAGTTCAAGAGATTTTTTTTTTTTTATCCAATTAACCACTAAAAAAAAAAAAAAAAAAAAAAGCTAGAATGAATGTGAGGCTCAAGTGATAGAGTACCAACATTGAGTGGAAGAAGGCCAAGCCAGAGCCTAGCTCTGAGTTCAAGCCCCAGTCCCAGCAAAAAAAAGAAAATCAGAAGATCAGAGATTTTTTTTTAAATAGACTGTTTATACACTAGATACATCTACTCTGTTTACAAACTGTATTTTTGTGTATTTGGATTCAGGAACCAACTCCAGTGCGCATCCTTTTCCTCTCATTAGAGATGAGCAACATACCATCTGGGAACCAGCACCAGGCCAAGCCGACGGGACCGGGAGCAAGAGGCTGTGGTGGATACACTTGGACGTCATAGAGCGCCTCTTTCTCTTTTCCTTTATTTTTATTTTTTCTTTCTTCAAATAGATAATAAATCCAGGTGCTGGTGGCTCACTCCTGTCATCCTAGCTACTGAGATCTGAGGATTGTCATTTGAAGCAAGCCTGGGCAGAAAAGCCGATGAGACATGTCTCTAGTTAACCACCCAAAATCTGAAAGTGGAGTTATAGCTCAAGTGGTAGAGTGCTAGCCTTGAAGGTAAAAGCTCAGAGACAGTATCTAGGCCCTGAGTTCAAGTTCTAGAACGGGCACACACACACATACACACACCTATACAATGATACCAATTTTATATGCATGTGACTTTCAAAATCCCAGATTGTATGTATCAGTCTAGGTGTGAGCAGGCTTAAAGAGTTCATACACAAAGGTGTCTGGGCTATCATGTTCTCAGCTCTTTTTGTTGCTGTGATCTCTATGGATATAGGCAGAAAGGACCTTGGAGATAGATGCATCTCCAATGCAGTTCATGTAACAGAACCATCCACCCAATTTGGAGTATGTTCAAGACATAGTGGGAGCAGCGCAGGGTGAAGCATGTGCTTTGCTCTGATGGGGCAGAGAGGGTTTCTTTTGTGATCTAAGGACTGATGACCTTTC